CCTAGGTCAACCAGAGCCTAGGTCAATCAGAGCCTAGGTCAACCAGAGCCTAGGTCAATCAGAGCCTAGGTCACTCAAAGACTAGGTCAACCAGAGCCTAGGTCAATCAGAGCCTAGGTCAATCAGAGACTAGGTCAACCAGAGCCTAGGTCAATCAGAGACTAGGTCAATCAGAGCCTAGGTCAATCAGAGACTAGGTCACCCAGAGCCTAGGTCAATCAGAGCCTAGGTCAATCAAAGACTAGGTCAACCAGAGCCTAGGTCAATCAGAGGCTAGGTCAATCAGAGACTAGGTCAACCAGATCCTAGGTCAATCAGAGCCTAGGTCAATCAGAGCCTAGGTCAATCAGAGACTAGGTCACCCAGAGCCTAGGTCAATCAGAGCCTAGGTCAATCAGAGACTAGGTCAACCAGAGCCTAGGTCAATCAGAACCTAGGTCAATCAGAGACTAGGTTAATTAGAGACTAGGTCACCCAGAGCCTAGGTCAATCAGAGCCTAGGTCAATCAGAACCTAGGTCAACCAGAGCCTAGGTCAACCAGAGCCTAGGTCAATCAGAGACTAGGTCACCCAGAGCCTAGGTCAATCAGAGCCTAGGTCAATCAGAGACTAGGTCATCCAGAGCCTAGGTCAATCGGAGCCTAGGTCAATCAGAGCCTAGGTCAACCAGAGCATAGGTCAACCAGAGCCTAGGTCAATCAGAGACTAGGTCACCCAGAGCCTAGGTCAATCAGAGCCTAGGTCAATCAGAGCCTGGGTCAATCATAGCCTAGGTCAATCAGAGCCTAGGTCAATCAGAGACTAGGTCAACCAGAGCCTAGGTCAATCAGAGCCTAGGTCAATCAGAGACTAGGTCAACCAGAGCCTAGGTCAACCAGAGCCTAGGTCAACCAGAGCCTAGGTCAACCAGAGCCTAGGTCAACCAGAGCCTAGGTCAATCAGAGCCTAGGTCAACCAGAGCATAGGTCAACCAGAGCCTAGGTCAATCAGAGACTAGGTCACCCAGAGCCTAGGTCAATCAGAGCCTAGGTCAATCAGAGACTAGGTTAATCAGAGCCTAGGTCAACCAGAGCCTAGGTGAACCAGAGCCTAGGTCAATCAAAGACTAGGTCAACCAGAGCCTAGGTCAACCAGAGCCTAGGTCAATCAGAGCCTAGGTCAATCAAAAACTAGGTCAACCAAAGCCTAGGTCAATCAGAGCCTAGGTCAATCAGAGACTAGGTCAACCAGAGCCAAGGTCAATCAGAGCCTAGGTCAATCAGAGCCTAGGTCAACCAGAGCGTAGGTCAACCAGAGCCTAGGTCAATCAGAGACTAGGTCACCCAGAGCCTAGGTCAATCAGAGCCTAGGTCAATCAGAGCCTGGGTCAATCAGAGCCTAGGTCAATCAGAGCCTAGGTCAATCAGAGACTAGGTCAACCAGAGCCTAGGTCAATCAGAGCCTAGGTCAATCAGAGACTAGGTCAACCAGAGCCTAGGTCAACCAGAGCCTAGGTCAACCAGAGCCTAGGTCAACCAGAGCCTAGGTCAACCAGAGCCTAGGTCAATCAGAGCCTAGGTCACCCAGAGCCTAGGTCAACCAGAGCCTAGGTCAATCAGAGACTAGGTCACCCAGAGCCTAGGTCAATCAGAGCCTAGGTCAATCAGAGACTAGGAAAGCCAGAGCCTAGGTCAATCAGAGCCTAGGTCAACCAGAGCCTAGGTCAACCAGAGCCTAGGTCAACCAGAGCCTAGGTCAACCAGAGCCTAGGTCAACCAGAGCCTAGGTCAATCAGAGCCTAGGTCAATCAAAGACTAGGTCAACCAGAGCCTAGGTCAATCAGGGCCTAGGTCAATAAGAGACTAGGTCAACCAGAGCCTAGGTCAATCAGAGACTAGGTCAATCAGAGCCTAGGTCAATCAGAGACTAGGTCACCCAGAGCCTAGGTCAATCAGAGCCTAGGTCAATCAAAGACTAGGTCAACCAGAGCCTAGGTCAATCAGAGGCTAGGTCAATCAGAGACTAGGTCAACCAGATCCTAGGTCAATCAGAGCCTAGGTCAATCAGAGCCTAGGTCAATCAGAGACTAGGTCACCCAGAGCCTAGGTCAATCAGAGCCTAGGTCAATCAGAGACTAGGTCAACCAGAGCCTAGGTCAATCAGAGCCTAGGTCAATCAGAGACTAGGTTAATCAGAGACTAGGTCACCCAGAGCCTAGGTCAACCAGAGCCTAGGTCAATCAAAGACTAGGTCAACCAGAGCCTAGGTCAACCAGAGCCTAGGTCAATCAGAGCCTAGGTCAATCAGAAACTAGGTCAACCAAAGCCTAGGTCAATCAGAGCCTAGGTCAATCAGAGACTAGGTCAACCAGAGCCTAGGTCAATCAGAGCCTAGGTCAATCAGAGCCTAGGTCAACCAGAGCGTAGGTCAACCAGAGCCTAGGTCAATCAGAGACTAGGTCACCCAGAGCCTAGGTCAATCAGAGCCTAGGTCAATCAGAGCCTAGGTCAATCAGAGCCTAGGTCAATCAGAGCCTAGGTCAATCAGAGACTAGGTCAACCAGAGCCTAGGTCAATCAGAGCCTAGGTCAATCAGAGACTAGGTCAACCAGAGCCTAGGTCAACCAGAGCCTAGGTCAACCAGAGCCTAGGTCAACCAGAGCCTAGGTCAACCAGAGCCTAGGTCAATCAGAGCCTAGGTCAATCAGAGACTAGGTCAACCAGAGCCTAGGTCAACCAGAGCCTAGGTCAACCAGAGCCTAGGTCAACCAGAGCCTATGTCAACCAGAGCCTAGGTCAATCAGAGCCTAGGTCAATCAAAAACTAGGTCAACCAGAGCCTAGGTCAATCAGAGCCTAGGTCAATCAGAGACTAGGTCAACCAGAGCCTAGGTCAATCAGAGACTAGGTCAATCAGAGCCTAGGTCAATCAGAGACTAGGTCACCCAGAGCCTAGGTCAATCAGAGCCTAGGTCAATCAAAGACTAGGTCAACCAGAGCCTAGGTCAATCAGAGGCTAGGTCAATCAGAGACTAGGTCAACCAGATCCTAGGTCAATCAGAGCCTAGGTCAATCAGAGCCTAGGTCAATCAGAGACTAGGTCACCCAGAGCCTAGGTCAATCAGAGCCTAGGTCAATCAGAGACTAGGCCAACCAGAGCCTAGGTCAATCAGAGCCTAGGTCAATCAGAGACTAGGTTAATCAGAGACTAGGTCACCCAGAGCCTAGGTCAACCAGAGCCTAGGTCAATCAGAGCCTAGGTCAACCAGAGCATAGGTCAACCAGAGCCTAGGTCAATCAGAGACTAGGTCACCCAGAGCCTAGGTCAATCAGAGCCTAGGTCAATCAGAGCCTGGGTCCATCAGAGCCTAGGTCAATCAGAGCCTAGGTCAATCAGAGACTAGGTCAACCAGAGCCTAGGTCAATCAGAGCCTAGGTCAATCAGAGACTAGGTCAACCAGAGCCTAGGTCAACCAGAGCCTAGGTCAACCAGAGCCTAGGTCAACCAGAGCCTAGGTCAACCAGAGCCTAGGTCAATCAGAGCCTAGGTCAATCAAAGACTACGTCAACCATAGCCTAGGTCAATCAGAGCCTAGGTCAATCAGAGACTAGGTCAACCCGAGCCTAGGTCAATCAGAGCCTAGGTCAATCAGAGCCTAGGTCAATCAGAGACTAGGTCACCCAGAGCCTAGGTCAATCAGAGCCTAGGTCAATCAGAGACTAGGTCAACCAGAGCCTAGGTCAATCAGAGCCTATGTCAATCAGAGACTAGGTCAACCAGAGCCTAGGTCAATCAGAGCCTAGGTCAATCAGAGCCTAGGTCAATCAGAGACTAGGTCATCGGAGCCTAGGTCAATCAGAGCCTAGGTCAATCAGAGACTACGTCAACCAGAGCCTAGGTCAATCAGAGCCTAGGTCAATCAGAGACTAGGTCAACCAGAGCCTAGGTCAACCAGAGCCTAGGTCAACCAGAGCCTAGGTCCATCAGAGCCTAGGTCAACCAGAGCCTAGGTCAACCAAAGCCTAGGTCCACCAGAGCCTAGGTCAACCAGAGCCTAGGTCAACCAGAGCCTAGGTCAATCAAAGACTAGGTCAACCAGAGCCTAGGTCAACCAGAGCCTAGGTCAATCAAAGCCTAGGTCAATCAAAAACTAGGTCAACCAAAGCCTAGGTCAATCAGAGCCTAGGTCAATCAGAGACTAGGTCAACCAGAGCCTAGGTCAATCAGAGCCTAGGTCAATCAGAAACTAGGTCAACCAGAGCCTAGGTCAACCAGAGGATAGGTCAATCAGAGACTAGGTCAACCAGAGCCTAGGTCAACCAGAGCCTAGGTCAACCAGAGCCTAGGTCAATCAGAGCCTAGGTCAATCAGAGACTAGGTCAACCAGAGCCTAGGTCAATCAGAGCCTAGGTCAATCAGAGCATAGGTCAACCAGAGCCTAGGTCAACCAGAAGATAGGTCAATCAGAGACTAGGTCAACCAGAGCCTAGGTCAATCAGAGCATAGGTCAATCAGAGCCTAGGTCAATCAGAGCCTAGGTCAATCAGAGCCTAGGTCAATCAAAGACTAGGTCAACCAGAGCCTAGGTCAACCATAGCCTAGGTCAATCAGAGCCTAGGTCAATCAAAAACTAGGTCAACCAAAGCCTAGGCCAATCAAGGCCTAGGTCAATCAGAGACTAGGTCAACCAGAGCTTAGGTCAATCAGAGCCTAGGTCAATCAGAGCCTAGGTCAACCAGAGCATAGGTCAACCAGAGCCTAGGTCAATCAGAGACTAGGTCACCCAGAGCCTAGGTCAATCAGAGCCTAGGTCAATCAGAGCCTAGGTCAATCAGAGACTAGGTCACCCAGAGCCTAGGTCAATCAGAGCCTAGGTCAATGAAAGACTAGGTCAACCAGAGCCTAGGTCAATCAGAGCCTAGGTCAATCAGAGACTAGGTCAACCAGAGCCTAGGTCAATCAGAGCCTGTTGTAACTGTATCTTATACACAACATACATAGGCTAGAATGGTGTAGCTCTTTATGTTCTTGGGGGGTTGGGTGTACACTCCAACCACATTTTGTGGTTGGTCAAGGTTGGGTTGGTCTTGGTCCTTGGTTGGCACTTGCTAACTTTTGGTCCTAAGGCCTACCAATCACAACCTAGCAACATTGTGGGGTTACCTACTCCACAAGGCATCTCCCCCATTGGCCAACTTAGTGGCCAATAGGGTTTGCTCCTTCTTCACCCCTCTCTTGCTTGCATGCTTGTACTATAGAGCCTCCATGGCTCATTATTCAACTACTCTTGAATTCTATCATGGTATTCAGAGCCAAATGGCTCACGCCACCTTCCCTCGATCCTCATGTTGTAATTCCCTCCCCGCTCCCTTACCCTAGCGGACTATGACCTACATCCGCCCACCCGCTCCTCAGATCTAGCCTCCCGCGGCTCAGTTCCGCCTCCCGCGGCTCAGTTCCGCCTCCCGCACCTCAGATCTAGCGTTCCGCGGCGTAGATCTCCTCCTCCGCGGCCTCAATCCTCCCTCCCGCGGCCTCTATCCTCCCTCCCGCAGCCCCTATCCGCTCCCCCGTGGCAGCAATCCTTCCTCCCGCCGCCACGCCTCCATCTGCCCGCCGACGCGTCCGACCTCCGCGCCGACGCGGATGACCAGCGCGGCGACGCGGACGACCTGCGACCGCCGCGGACGGCCAGCGCGCGACCCCCGACGACCAGCGCGCTGCCGCGGACGGCCAGCGCGGCCTCGCTGACGGCCCGCGCGCTGACGCGGACGGCCAGCGCGGCCCCGCCGACGACCAGCGCGCTGACGCGGACGGCCAGCGCGGCCCCGCCGACGACCCGCGCGCTGACGCGGACGGCCAGCGCGGCCCCGCCGACGACCCACGCGCTGACGCGGACGGCCAGCGCGGCCCCGCCGACGACCCGCGCGCTGACGCGGACTGCCAGCGCGGCCCCGCCGACGAGCCGCGTGCTGACGCGGACAGCCAGCGCGCGGCCACGAAAGAACCGCGCGCCACCACGGACGGCCAGCGCGCGGCCGTCGACGCCCCTGCGCCGACGTGGACGGCTGGCGCGCAGCCGCGGCTGATCTGCCCGCCGTCGCGTTCGCCTGCCCGCGATCTCCACGACCTCGAAACCCTAATTCCTCCCCGCACTTCCGCACCAGCCTCTCTTCCCCTCTACCTCCTCCCCCTACTCCACCCCTAACGGCACCAGCAGCAGCAGCAGCGGCATCGGCGGCGGCGGCAGCAGCGGCATCAGCGGCGGCAGCAGCAGCGGCATCGGCGGCGGCAGCAGCAGCGGCATCGCGGCGGCCAGCAGCGGCATCGGCGGCGGCAGCAGCAGCGGCATCGGCGGCGGCAGCAGCAGCGGCATCGGCGGCGGCAGCAGCAGCGGCATCGGCGGCGGCAGCAGCAGCGGCATCGGCGGCGGCAGCAGCAGCGGCATCGGCGGCGGCAGCAGCAGCGGCATCGGCGGCGGCAGCAGCAGCGGCATCGGCGGCGGCAGCAGCAGCGGCATCGGCGGCGGCAGCAGCAGCGGCATCGGCGGCGGCAGCAGCAGCGGCAATCGGCGGGCGGCAGCAGCAGCGGCGGCACCAATACCAACAGCAGCAGCGGCGCCTTCACCCCTCCGCCGTCATGGCGTCATCCGACTCCTCGGTCGATCTAGCGACCATTGACGCCCTCGAGCTGCTCGGCGACAACTCGGCCGCCAACTGGCACTCCTATGCTCACTCCGTCGAGGTGTTGCTCTCCTCGGTCATCGTCAGTGGTTATACACTCCGCTCCGTCGTGTTCCAGGAGGAAGGCGGACTCCAGCCCATCGCCCCTTCTGCCCCCACCGGACCTCCTCCTGATGAGCCCGGACCTGAGCCCGAGTCCCCTGGTGATCCTCCCTCCTTCGCACCGGATGTCAACAATCCTCAAAGCGTGGAAACTGCCATCCGTGCCTACCGCAACACACTCAACGACCACCTTCGCCGTCAACTGCGCTATGAGGACGACAAGCGCGCCTACGACGAGGCTGCTGCCCGTCACCGCGACTACCACGCCCAACTCACCACGTACACTACACGCCTCGCTAGCTACACCTCCGACATCGCTGCGTGGCGCATTGCTGACCGCCGAGCTCTCGCCATCCTCCTCGCCACTATCCCCTCCTCCCTCAAGCGAGAACTCTCACCCACCTCCTCCTCCCACCTGTGGCAACTGCTTGTCGACCTCTTTGACCGGCAGGACATCGCCACCCTCTATGCCCTCATCAAGGACTTTGGATCCATCACCATGGATTCCACTGCCGGTGCAGCCGCCTTTACTCGCCGCGTCCTTGACCTTGCTCGCCGCCTTGCAGCACTTGGTGTTACCTACCCTGACACCGTCATCTGCTGCCACCTCCTCGAAGGCCTCACTCCTGCCTTCGATGCCCACAAGCTGGCCTATATGCAACTCCTCTCCAAACATGACACTCCCGCTCAAGTTGCCCAGTGGATTATCACCACCGAGGCAGAAATCCTTCGCCACTCCTCCTCCACTGCCGCGGTAGCACAGCAGCGCAGCGGCAAAGGCGGACGTGGAGGGGGGCGTGGAGGTGGGCGTGGAGGTGGTCGAGGCGGCTCTGGCGGTCGTGGTGGTGCGGGTCGTGGTGCAGCAGCGGCCTTCCCACCCTGTCAGTATCTTCCCCTTTATGGCCCCACCCGAGGCCAACGCTGCAACCAAACCACTCATGCAACTGAGACGTGCTTTAAGGCACTCAGCGATGAGTGGTTCGCTCGTGGGAACTCTGGCACCCCTCCTCGCTGGTCCGCCCTTAATCCCCGCCCCACTCCCCTCGACGTTCGCACCTCTCCCCTCTACGCTCCTTCCTCCTCCTCCCAGGCCCACCAGGCCTTTGCTCTCCCCTCTCAGCAGCAGCAGCAGCAGCAGCATCAGCAGCAGCAGCAGCAGCAGCAGCAGCAGAGTGTACAACAGCAGGGACCGCAGCAGTACGGGCAGCAGCTTCAGCAGCTCCAGCAGCAGCTTCAGCAGCTCCAGCAGCAGCTCGACCTCCAGCCCCAGCTTCCTCTCCTCCCTCCTCCTCCTGTCCCCCAGCAGCAACCGTTTCCCGGCTGGACCGCTGGGAATGCAGCCTCTGCGGCCCACCTCTCCGGTCCCTCCCCTGCGCCGTCCACAGGTGGTAGTGTGACCCCCCTTTCCCTCCTCTGGCTTTGTTGGTCTGCTTAGTCAGCCTCCCTCTGTTGCATCCCCTATGTATGCGCCTGCTACTAATGAAACTTCCATTCAGTACTCCGCCTCACCCTCCTCCACCCTTGAGTTCGTCCTGGATAGTGGAGCCACTGACAATGTCTTTCGCGATGCTGGCAAACTCCATCCTCTCCCCACACCCACGTCCCTCCTCGGCGCTGACAGCAGCTTTTCCATCCCCTGTCACAACACGTCCACCCTTCCCTGTCCTCTCTTTCCCTCAGGTACCGTCACAGGTCTTCACATTCCCTCCCTTCGCACTAACCTCCTTTCCCAAAGGTCCCTCCAACAATCCATGATCACCACTGTCACCCCAGGAGGTGCTAACCATTGTGACCTTTTCCAAACCTCCACAGGTCGCTTCCTCGCCCGCATTCCCTACTGTCACCGCTCCCGTCTATACACCCTTCGGGTTCCTCGCCCCTTCACCTTCCAAGTTGCCTCCCCCCCCCCTCCTCCCCCCCCCTCCTCCCCTCCCTCCCACTAACCCACCCGTCCCCCCCCGCCCCCCTGACTCTGACTGCTCATGTCGCTCCCTCTCCCACCCTGCTATCCTCCTCCATCACAGGCTAGGTCACCCCAACTTCGCCACTCTGCGCTCCTCTGCATCCTCCGGTCTCCTCCACGGTCTCCCCTCCTCCCTCCCTCCCCTCCCAAAGTCCCCTGCCCCCCCTTGCGTCGTCTGTGTTCAGAGCAAGCTCAAGCAGCAGCCGCACCGGAGCTCCCCCTCCGCTGCAGCCCAGCCACTTGATCTTGTTCACATGGACCTCTGGGGCCCTAACCCCTCCCCCACTCGCCAAGGCCATCGCTACCTCCTCGTGCTCGTCGATGATCACAGTCGGTACTCGTCCGTCTCTCTCCTTCGGACGAAGGCGGACGCCCCGACTGCGATCATTGCCTGGCTCGAACAGGCAAACACCCACTTTGGGCGCCCTGTTCGCCGCCTCCACTCTGATGGTGGTGGTGAGTTCCTTAACAACCAGATCTCCTCCTATTGCCAGTCCCGCGGCATTCTTCAGACTTACACCCTCCCTCACTCCCCACAGCAGAACGGTGTCGCTGAGAGCCGTGTTCGGGAGATCACCAAAACGGCTCGGTGTCTCCTTGTCCACGCCTCCTGCCCCCCTTCTCTGTGGGGCTACGCCCTCCTTCATGCCGCCCTCCTTACTAACCTTTACCCTCACCCCCTCCTCCCCTCCACCACCCCCACTGAGCTATGGACAAAGGACAAACCCGATGTCTCCCCTCTTCGGGTCTGGGGCTCAAAGGCATATGTCCTCATTCACCCATCTGACCGATCCCGTTCCCTAGGAAAACTTGCCCCTCGTACCCTTCCCTGCATCTTCCTTGGTCATAACCCCTCTTCCCCCGACTATCTTTTCCTCCACCCCCCCTCCGGTCGACTAATTCGCAGCAGGGATGTCGTCTTTGACGAATCCACCTCATACTATTCCTCTCCTCCGTCCACTGACCCACTCCCACCTCTGACTCGTCCCCTTGTCTGGTCTGACACCACCCCTCCCCCTCTCCTCCCTCCTCCCCCCATCCTCCCACCCCCTTCCCCACCGCCCCCCCAGTCCCACGGTGCCCCTCCCTCGTCTGGTGACATCTTTGACCCGGACCCCCTGTCTTCCCCTGTCTCCCCCGCTCACTCCTCCCCTGGTGCCCCTCCTCCCCCTCCCTCCCAACCCTCGCCTCCCTCCCCCCCTCCCCGCACCACACTCACCCGGTATCCTCACACCAGGTCATGCGACGGTATTCTTGGTGCACCGCCCCCTGTTACCCTCTCTACCTCTACCCTCCCCCCTCTTTCCCCCCTTCTTCACCACTTCTTCCAGGCTGTCCTGCATCAAGCCCCTCATGCACCCGCCCCCTCTACTACCTCTCCAGCAGCGGCAGCAGCAGCAGCTCCAGCAGCAGCCACCGCAGCGGCACCAGCAGCGGCACCAGCAGCGGCAAGTGCAGCGGCACCAGCAGCGGCAAGTGCAACGGCACCAGCAGCGGCGAGTGCAGCGGCAGCGGCGGCCTCGGCAGCGGCACCAGCAGCGGCGGCACCAACAGTGGCACCAGCAGCGGCACCTGCGGTCATCCGCGCCTTCCACACCTCCCTCTCTGAGGACTCCCATGAGGAGTTCCTTGACCTCCACCTCTCTGACCCCTCCCTCCTTCCCATCACCTCTGACCTCTCTGGAACACCAGTCTTCGCCTTTTCCTCCGCACCCTCCACCTTCATCCCAACCACGTATGAGGAGGCCATGGCTTGTCCCGACGCCCCGCTCTGGCTCGCCGCCATCATCAAGGAGCTCGAGGCGTTTATTGCCAACTCCTCCTTCGTTGATGTCCCTCGCCCTCCCCCCTCTACGAACGTGGTCAAGGGGAAGTGGGTGTTTCGCGTCAAGCAGCTGCCAGGAGAACCGCCCGTCTACAAGGCCCGGTATTGCGCCAAGGGCTTCACGCAGCGGTATGGCTTTGACTTCTTCGACACCTTCTCCCCCACCGCCAAACCTGCTACCGTTCGCGCCGTCCTCGACCTCGCCGCTCGCCTCAACATGGAGATCCACTCGATGGATGTCTCCAACGCCTTCCTGCAAGGCGTACTACGTGAACTGATCTACATGGAGCGCCCAGCGGGCTTCCACCTCCCCTTCCCCGCTGACTCTGTCTGGCAGCTGCGCCGCCCAGTGTATGGGCTCCGCCAGGCTCCCAGGGAATGGCATGCCAAGCTTGCTGCCACCCTTGTCGAGCTTGGGTTTCGCACCTCCCGCTCCGACGCCAGCCTCTTCCTCCGCACCTCCCCCTCCCCCTTCTACATCCTCGTCTATGTTGACGATATGATTCTTCTCACTGCCGATCCTGCCGAGCTCGAGACTGTCAAGACGGAGCTGGGCAGCCGTCTCAAGTGCAAAGACCTGGGAGAGCTGCAGCACTACCTCGGCATGACCATCACTCGCGACCGCTCCGCCCGCACCATCTCTCTCTCTCAGGGCCACTACCTCCAGCAGGTCTTAGAACGGTTTGCAATGGCGCGCGGTAACCCCCAGCCCACTCCCCTTTCGGTCGGGCACCACCTCTCCCCACCCTCCTCTCCCTCCCCTTCCTCCCATCCTTATCCTGAACTCATCGGCTCTCTCATGTACGCCATGGTCTCTACTCGCCCTGACCTTGCCTACCCCATCAGCGTCCTCGCTCGCTTCGTTGGCGCTGGCAAGCATACGGAGGAGCACTGGCAGGCCGCCAAGCGCGTTCTTCGCTACATTCGTGGCACCAAGGACTATGTCCTTACCCTTGGCGGCCCTTCCCCACCCCTCCTCCACGGCTACAGCGACTCTTCCTGGGCTGACTCTCGACCGGATCGGCGGTCCTCTCAGGGTTATGGCTTCTCTCTGGGCAGCGGCCTCATCAGCTGGCGGTCCACACGCTCCTCTGCCGTCGCCCTCTCCTCCTGCGAGGCAGAGCTCTACGCTGCAACCATGGCCGCGCAGGAGGCGCGCTGGCTCACCTTCCTCCTTGATGAGCTTGGAGCCCCCCCACGCTGTCCCACCATCTGGTGTGACAACGCTAGCACCATCCACCTCACCAAGGATGCTGTGTATCATGGGCGCTCCAAACACATTGAGCTCCGCTACTTTTTCATTCGTGAACTCGTTGAGGCCGGCCATCTTCGCCTTGGCAAAATCGACTCGGCGGCCAACCTCGCTGACATCTTCACCAAAGCCCTTCCCCAGGCGTCCCACTCCTTCCTTCTGCGCCTCCTTGGCCTCACCCCTCCTCCGGTTTTGGCGGCCTCCTGATTCCATTTTCTAGCCTTATGCCTGTTGGGGGGTTGTGTTGTAACTGTATCTTATACACAACATACATAGGCTAGAATGGTGTAGCTCTTTATGTTCTTGGGGGGTTGGGTGTACACTCCAACCACATTTTGTGGTTGGTCAAGGTTGGGTTGGTCTTGGTCCTTGGTTGGCACTTGCTAACTTTTGGTCCTAAGGCCTACCAATCACAACCTAGCAACATTGTGGGGTTACCTACTCCACAAGGCATCTCCCCCATTGGCCAACTTAGTGGCCAATAGGGTTTGCTCCTTCTTCACCCCTCTCTTGCTTGCATGCTTGTACTATAGAGCCTCCATGGCTCATTATTCAACTACTCTAAAATTCTATCAGAGCCTAGGTCAATCAGAGCCTAGGTCAATCAGAGACTAGGTCACCCAGAGCCTAGGTCAATCAGAGCCTAGGTCAATCAAAGACTAGGTCAACCAGAGCCTAGGACAATCAGAGCCTAGGTCAATCAGAGACTAGGTCAACCAGAGCCTAGGTCAATCAGAGCCTAGGTCAATCAGAGCCTAGGTCAATCAGAGACTAGGTCAATCAGAGCCTAGGTCAATCAGAGCCTAGGTCAATCAGAGCCTAGGTCAATCAGAGCCTAGGTCAATCAGAGCCTAGGTCAATCAAAGACTAGGTCAACCAGAGCCTAGGTCAACCATAGCCTAGGTCAATCAGAGCCTAGGTCAATCAAAAACTAGGTCAACCAAAGCCTAGGTCAATCAAGGCCTAGGTCAATCAGAGACTAGGTCAACCAGAGCTTAGGTCAATCAGAGCCTAGGTCAATCAGAGCCTAGGTCAACCAGAGCATAGGTCAACCAGAGCCTAGGTCAATCAGAGACTAGGTCACCCAGAGCCTAGGTCAATCAGAACCTAGGTCAATCAGAGCCTAAGTCAATCAGAGCCTAGGTCAATCAGAGCTTAGGTCAATCAGAGACTAGGTCAACCAGAGCCTAGGTCAATCAGAGCCTAGGTCAACCAGAGACTCGGTCACCCAGAGCCTAGGTCAATCAGAGCCTAGGTCAACCAGAGCCTAGGTCAACCAGAGCCTAGGTCAATCAGAGGCTAGGTCAATCAGAGACTAGGTCAACCAGAGCCTAGGTCAACCAGAGCCTAGGTCAAT